CTTGTGATTCAGATACATAAAGTTGTGGAGTGATGGAACAATGAAATCTGAAGTTCAACTCCAGGCCATGCAAAACTAGTTCCTCAGCTTACATCATTGCTTTGCTCATGTCCTATTGAGATGATGGACATTGGCATCTGTTTTAAGAAATACTTTTAAGCAATGTAAATTCCTGCTGTTCAGGAAGCATTTCCCAAGCACCTGCTCTGTACCTGCTCTGTGCTATGTGACATCCACTATCCCAGTGCTTTAGAGACAGTTGTGTCCAAATATCATGGCAGTCTTCCCTCCCCCAGAAGCCCCCCAAATGATAGACAGATTCTTACTATAAATTAAGTTGAAAGAGGTTCTGAACCCTGAGACATCAAACAGAAGGGCTTTACAGCAAAGTCTCAGAATATAAAACTACTCTCAACCACATCCTGTCTAGTCTTTCATGGGATGGAAATGCCTAACATGTTGGTTGGGCTCTCCTGGTAACTATTTATCAAAGGAAAGAAAATTCTGGAACATGACGAATGGCCAGAGGCTCTCTCAGCCTGTTCTCCTAGACTCTTCAGGGGCTCTGCCCACCTGCTGAGAACACAAAGGCAGATAAGATAATACCAGTCTGCAAAGAACTCATAACTACAGATGAGTGACACCCTGCTTTTAATTAAACAGACCGTGATCATGGCCACAACAGGGATGCTTCACAGTGGTGTGGGTCTGCACACATTCCATCTCTACAGTGGGCAAAGCTACTCAAAGCAGTTCCTGGGCTTTTTACCACTGAAAATGTTGGGCAAGTGAAGGGAAGTGTGTACTGGGCAGAGAAAATCATGTCATCAAATGTACCAGCAGGTGAAAATGACCAGTGTGTGTGGGTGGGGGTACATGAGTACCAGCTGCTTGATAAGGAAATTATGTAGGAGATTCCAAGCCATCACAGCTCCTGGACTGAGGGGAGCACTCCTAGAACCTAGGTCACTGAGTCCTAAAAGTAGCACAATGCAATTGCTACATCCTAACAGCAGATGCAGATCCAACCAGTCCACCCTAAAGGAGATCAGTCCTGGGTGTTCACTGGAAGGACTGATGCTGAAGCTGAAACTCCAATACTTGGGCCAACTCACGCGATTCATTGGAAAAGACCCTGATGCTGGGAGGGATTGGGGGCAGGAGGAGAAGGGGATGACAGAGGATGAGATGGTTGGATGGCATCACCAACTCAATGGGCATGAGTTTGAGTAAACTCCGGGAGTTGGCGATGGACAGGGAGGCCTGGCGTGCTGCGATTCATGGGGTCACAAAGAGTCAGACATGACTGAGCGACTGAACTGAACTGAACTGAACAGCAGATGAGTTTATTCGATGTTTTAAATTAAATAAACTAACTTTACCAACGTTGTCCACAAAATAAAAATGACTAAAATCATTTATGCCCAACACTGTTGGACACCATCTCTTGAAAAACTCCCAAGAACTCTGTAAAAGAGGTACCACTGTTGTGGCAATTTTACAGATCAAAAAACTGAGGCTCAGAGTTCAGTAACTTAACTCAAAATCACACAACTAGGAAGTGGAGGAGCTCAGATGTAAATTTCTTCAGTCCAGCTCCAAAGTCTATGCCTAATCATTTATGTTAAATACTGTAAGATACAACAAATAACAGTTCTGTTGTGTTCTGATCACTAGGAACCAAAAAAAGGCTTTTATTTGGGTTTCAGAGTTACCACATTCTCGCCAAGCTTTTATATTCCCCACAGCACACAACATATTACTGGACACTACTGCTTATCATTCATCTTGATTTGTAAGAAACATGTAAGGTAACATTATACTGAAGTCCCGCTAATAAAAGAAAAATGAGAGAAAGAGAGAAGGCAAGAGATTTGAACAATGGCTTGGTATGTCTGTCAGTCTGTACATCTGTGTCTCTTTCTTTCTTCTTCTCTTCTCTCCTCTCTCTCCCTCTCTCATTCTTTGTGTATCTTAATATGTCTCTCTTTCTACCTAGCTCCTCTTTTCAGCTTTCAGTCTATCACTATCTTAATCTGTGTATGTGTGTGTGTTTTCCAGAGTGGCATAACAACTCCTAGATCTTGAACAGACCAGTAACCTGGAATTGATTTGATAGTCCCACAGGAAGCCTGGAGTCCCCAGGAACTCAAGTTAACCACAGAAGGGCCAGTGAGAGTAGCAGTAAATAATGAGAACTCATGAGGCAGACAGACTTAAGCCCTTACAAGCTACACAACCTAAGGCAAGTTACAAACCTATTTAAACCTCAGATTCTTTACCTGTGAAATGGGTAATGTTGTAACCATCACATACCGCTATTGTGAGGATGAAATGCAATAATGGATATAAAGTTCTTAATACAGAGTCTGATCCATGTTAAGTAACTAACAACAATGCCAGGTGCTATTGTTACTATTATTATCCACAGAGTCTTATTTGCCTTCAGACTCTCAGAATCTAGCATAGCACTTGGGACCCAATTGGAGTTCAACATCTGCTCAGAGAGATAAGATAGAGATAAGCATAATGAGACAGAAGAACACAGGACGGACAGAATTACAGCCAGGTAAAGGGATGAAAAGAGAGATGGAGAGACAAAGAGAGACGCAAGAGAGGAAGGAAGACAGAGGTGGACAGATGCACAGTCTGACATGCCAGTCAACCCCTGACCAAGTCTCTTTCTTTCCGTCTAAATTTCCCTTTAGCAGTATGGATCTAACATAATGTTTCCTTACTGGTTTCTCATAATTCAACATAGACAAACAAGGAAGTCACATGCTCCATCCCAAAACCAGGCTTCCCATGACAAAGAAGGGGAGCTGAGCAATGGGGGACTCAGTATGCACATCCATCATGACACCACAGAAGCAGTGAGTCACTGGCTATTCACTGGAGCAGAAGCAGGCTGTTCTGGCCCTCTCTGAGGCATTCCTTAAGGAGAATAGTCCAGGGGGTATTGAGTCCATACCTTGGACTCACTTGCCATGGACCTTTTAACTGAATGAGAAGGACATCCATTTCCCTCCCTGGAAGAGCTCCTAGGCAACAGCATAGGTACTTTCCTCCACAAAGACAAAGGGCAAACTTTTATCCTCACATCAAGGGAAAAACAAAACTTCCACGGTGGTGCCGCAGATAAAAATCCACCTGCCAATGAGGGGACATGGGTTCGATCCCTGGTCTCAGAAGATTTCACAGGCCGCGAAGCACCTAAGCCCATGAGCCACAACTCCTGAGTCAGTGATCTAGAGCCAGCAGGCTGCAACTCCCGAAGCCTGCACACCTTGGAGCCTGTGCTCCACAACAAGAGAAACCACGGCAACGAGAGGCCTGTGCACCGCAGCAAAGAGCAGCGCCTGCTCACCACAACTAGAGAAAGCCCGAGTGCAGCAAAGAAGACCCAATGCAAAAGTATTTTTTTTTAAAGGGCGAAACAGCCCAGTCCTCCAAAGAAGATATTTAATTCAGTTAGGAGGACACCAGCGTCCTCTCTTTGTTGTGTTGACCTTGAGTGCTGGCTGTAAATTGTGAGCTTTATAACACGTCACAGTACACTTCGATAAAACAAAGGTGAGTACGAATGAGATCGCTTTTGCAACAAGGCCATCTTTAGGGAACACGTATTGAGCAAAGCATTGTGGAGATGATATTTTCCATTCATGTGATTCCAGAGGAAGACTGAATCATCAGGAAAGAGCTGAAGCCCATTGGAGTTCTAGGCTTGAAATTTCTAAACTACTCTCCACCCTGCTCTCCTGTCCTGCTAAGGACATCTCTCAGATTGCATGGGAAGAAAGGGGAAGTTTACAACTGAATACGAAGCTGACTTCAACCATCTGGACGTGCTCTCTTGCCTCCAGTCAGCACGCCTGGTCAGGGCCCCTCTCACCCCCTGTTACCCCTCACCCCTCTCACCACTTCTGAGCAGCATCATGCAGGCAGCTGCAGCAGCCAACTCGGGCTGTCAACACGGCTGCCACCACATCACTCAGTGCCAAACATCCCCCAGATCTGCAGTTCCAGCTGTTACAGAAATCTGGGAACTCTCCTCTGCCCTCCGAATAAAACCCACTTTGTCTGTCAGCCAAACCACACCTGTGAGGACCTGGAGGCTGGGCTGTGATGCACTACTGTGGACCCTGACAAGGTTCGTCTCCAATGGGGGCCTCTTCTAGGACCTTCTCATTTCATTTCAGAATCATTCCTTGGGGGCGGGGGGGGGGGGGGGGAGAAAAAAGAGCTTCCTAGGAGCAAGGAGTCAATCAGTCCGCCTCCTGACTACAGACCCCTGGCAGAAGAAATCACCAAGGCCAGTAAACTGATAGTTTAGAAGTGCAGCTACTGTTAGAGATGGATGGTGCTGATGGTTGTACAAGAATGCGAATGTACTAATGCTACTGGCCTATACACTTTAATAGGGCTAAGATGATTATATATATTTTACCACGATTTTTTTTTTTGTTCCAAGGTTTGTTTTGTTTTGTTTTTGGATTTGTTGTTATTTTGCTATATATTAGGTCCTCATTCATGATCCATCTTAAACATAGCAGTGTGTGCAGGTCAGTCCCAAACTCCCAGATTCTCCCTCTCTTGCCCCCAGGCCCAGCCACCATTTTTCAAAGTGAAAAAAATTTAAAAATAAACTGAATGCAACACATTTTTTTTTAAAAAGGAAGTACACCTAAGTCCCAGGTGGTCTAATGATCACTGATTTAGTATTATTCAATTTTCAATTGAAATATAGTTGTTATACAATAACATAAAAGTTACAGGTATACAATAGTGAGTCACAATTTTTAAAGGTTATAGCTATAAAATATTGGCTATATTCCCATGTTGTACAATATATCCTTGTGGCTTGTTTTATACATTATAGTTTGTATTTCTGAATCCCCATCCCTATATTGTCCCTCCCTCCTTCCTTCTCCCCACTAGATTGTTCCCTATATCTGGGAGTCTGTTTCTTTTTTGCTATATTCACTAGTTTGTCAAATTGTTTAGATTCCACATATAAGTGATACCACACAGTTTCGAGGCTTCCCAGGTGGCGCAGTGGTCAAGGATCCGTCTGTCAATGCAAGAGATGCAAGAGACTGGCGTTTGGTCCCTGGGTCAGGAAGATCCCCTGAAGGAGGAAATGGCAACCCACTCCAGTATTCTTGCCTAGAAAATTCCATGAACAGAGGAGCCTGGTGGGCTACAGTCCATGGGGTCACAAAAAGTTGGACACGATTGAGCACACACACACATACATGCATATAGTATTTGTCTTTCTCTGTCTGACTCAAAGTATTATTATGTTTAAAGAGAATCTCGTAGCACAGAAAGCTAACCAGTAGTGACAGTTTGTAAAAATAAAAAGTAGGAAAATACATGCTCCTATAATCAAAAATGCCCTTAAATTAAAAATCAACACACTCTGTCTGGTGTATGAGTATTTTCTACGAGTACGATTTTCCAAAGAATGTCACAAAGCTTTTCTTTCAGAAACCGGTTCTTCCACAATTGCAACTTGAAGAACATTCAGATCACAGGAGTGGCCTATAAGGGTTTCCAGTTCTAACAGTAACATGTTCAACAGGCTACTTTCATGGTACCTCTCTGAAAATGAAGACACAGTCTCCCATTACATAAGTGGAAAATATTATTTGCATTGGCAGATGGTAAAGTTAAGGCTTGGAAAATCTCAAAGACTGCACTGAAATCATCCCATGAGAAGAGAACTTCAGATTCTAGATTCTGAACTCCAGGCTCAGAGGCCATGCTTTCCCTGCCTTCTGGCTTGAGATCATTTAAGAAACAGAGGTCGCTCATTGTTAATTATAATAAGAAACTTCAATAACTGTTCAGCCACATAAACACCTACTCTCTTGAAGCGTGCCTATTAACTCTTTGCCAGGAGACTCCAACACAAGAAGCCCCAAACTGGGGAAAAGCTCCGAATGAAGCTTACCTTTAGGAAAGGGAAAAGGCATGATTTATTGCTCACACTTGTCAGTTTCACCCACAAAGAGTACTGAGTGACTCGTAGAAGGTCTTAGGGGCAGGGCAGGGGAACAGCTCCAGCACAGGTCAGGTTCTAACATGTCAGGAACAAGCAGCAGAGCACATGGGTCAGGAGCAATCTTGGAGGCAGAAAGCCCAATGGCAAGCCCAAGAAAGAGAACGGATTATGACCATCTCTCAAGCAGCTACCCATAGAAAGAGTTTTTATCCTGATACCTAACCAAGATGGACCAAGAAAAGAGAGAGAAAAGCAATGCGCACAGTTCCCTGCCATGCTACCTACAAAGATGTCTGCATCTGCCCTGGATCTCACAACTTCCCTACAGTCTCTGCAGGAAAAAAAAAAAAAAAAAGCATAAACCTCTTCCCACAAAGGATAATAATTTCCTTTGAGTTCTGGTTCCCACCTTCCCTTCCTCCTCAAAGGCATGCACCAGCTGTTTATCATCTCTGTTTCTTTCACCTTTCCCTTTCTATTGCCACATTTCTTTCACCAACATGATTCTAAAGGTTTGTGGCTCAAAAGGCTCTTTCTTTGAGAAGCGGGTAAGTTCTGCATGTCATTCCTAAGGAGCTGATAGATCCCTAGGCTCACTGAGCTCTTCCGTTTCCTAAGAGACGGAAGTCTCTTCCATCTCAGACCTTAGCTGCTCATGGACACCTCTCCTTCCTTTCCAAGCAAGCTTCTAGCATACACACCTCTCCACTCCCTATCTCCTATTTCCTCCTCTATCCACTGCCTTCACCCCACCAAAACTAATCCTGTAATGTGCGTGCGTAAGCGCTCCATTGTGTCCGACTCTTTTACTACCCCATGGACTGTAGCCCGCCAGGCTCCTCTCTCCATGGGATTTCCCTGGCAAAAATACTGGAGTGAGTTGCCATTTCCAACTCCAGGGGATTTTCCCAACCCGGGGATCGAACCCACATCTTCTGTGTCTCCTGCATTGCAGGAGGACTCTTTACTGCTGAGCCATAGGAAAGGCCAATCCTGTTGAAGTTATCACTGACATTTCAAATGCCAAACTCAGTGGATACACTTTTCTCTCTCATTTGACTTCCTGCTGTATCTCACAGTGACCCATCCCCAGTAGGCTAAAACTTCCTCAAATGTCTTGACATCACAGCAATAAAGCCCTCACAGAGTCTGATAAACAAGTTTTCCTTCCCTAGGAAATGTTCAAACCACCCTCCTGGGCCCCAGCTCCCATGTTTTTGTACTTACATGCCTCCACCTCCCCACAGTGGTCAATCAACCCAGAGATGGGCCTCACCAAGCAGTACCTATCAGTGATTTCCCTGAGAATTTTTCAATAGAGAAGGAAAACAAAAAGTGTCTCAGATCTCCCACAATGTTTGGTAACACATTCCAAATACATGCTCATACCTACATGCCTGACTCCCTTGTATCTTTAAAATACATTTCCAATTTTCCTCCCACCAGTCTGCACTAGGTTTCTGTCACCTGTCACCCCAAAAGGGTTCTAACCAATCTAAACATTCTCTTATCTCTAATCCACCTTCCCAGTCTCTGACTGCTCCTTTCAGTCTTCTCAGCAGGCAACTCTGTCTGTCCATCCCTCAAATATGGCCTTATCTATCACAGTTCTAGGGGACAATGAATGGTGATACAGAAACATAACTGTTATCAGTGAACCAGATTGACCCAAGTAAGGCTTTGAATTTCACTGAACCCCACCAGGCCTCACTCAGAACAAGCTATTTGCAGAACAGGTTTCTATGGGAAAACAGAATCAAGAAAAAAAATTGAAATTAACAGCTGCAAAGTTGATTTAGTAAAGTATCAGTCACTCAGTTGTGTCCAGCGCTTTGTGACCCCATGGACTGCAGCCTTCCAGGCTCCTCTGTCCATGGAATTCTCCAGGCACAAATACTGGAGTAGGTTGCTATTTTCTTCTCCAGGGGACCTTCCCAACCGAGGAAGTTCTTCAAACCAGGTAACTTCTTCAAACCAGGTTTCCTTCATTGGAGGCAGATTTTTTTTTTTTTTTTTTTTTTTTTACCATCCAAGCCACCAGGGAAGGCTGCAAAGTTGACTTCAGTTCAGTTCAGTTGCTCAGTCGTGTCCGACTCTTTGTGACCCCATGAATCGCAGCATGCCAGGCCTCCCTGTCCATCACAAACTCCCAGAGTTTACTCAGACTCATTGACCATCGAGTCGGTGATGCCATCCAGCCATCTCATCTTCTGTCGTCCCCTTCTCCTCCTGCCCCCAATCCCTCCAAGCATCAGGGTCTTTTCCAATGAGTCAACTCTTTGCATGAAGTGGCCAAAGTATTGGAGTTTCAGCTTCAGCATCAGTCCTTCCAATGAACACCCAGGACTGATGTCCTTTAGGATGGACTTGTTGGATCTCCTTGCAGTCCAAGGGACTCTCGAGAGTCTTCTCTAACCCCACAGTTCAAAAGTATCAATTCTTTGGCACTCAGCTTTCTTCACCATCCAACTCTCACATCCATATATGACCACTGGAAAAACCATAGCCTTGACTAGACAGACCTTTGTTGGCAAAGTAATGTCTCTGCTTTTTAATATGCTATCTAGGTTGGTCATAACTTTCCTTCCAAGGAGTAAGCGTCTTTTAATTTCATGGCTGCAATCACCATCTGCGGTGATGTTGGAGCCCAAAAAAATAAAGTCTGAAACTGTTTCCACTGTTTCCCCGTCTATTTCCCATGAAGTGATGGGACCAGATGCCATGATCTTAGTTTTCTGAATGGTGACCTCTAAGCCAACTTTTTCACTCTCCTCTTTCACTTAGGCTAGGCTATATTTTAAAGATCAGAGACGCAGAATATGTATCACTTTGTAGAAAAGACCGGGATATATATGTGTATCTGTGTGTGTGTGTGTGTGTGTGTGTGTGTGTGTGTATCAGTTCAGTTGCTCAGTCATGTCCAACTCTTTGCGACCCCATGGACTGCAGCACACCAGGCTTCCCTATCCATCACCAGCTCCTGGAGCCTACTCAAACTCATGTCCAATGCAACAGTGATGCCATCCAATCACCTCATCCTCTGTCATTCCCTTCTCCTCCTGCCTTCAATCTTTCCCAGCATCAGGGTCTTTCCAAATGTGTCAGTTCTTCGCATCACATGCCAAAGTATTGGAGTTTCAGCTTCAGCATCACTCCCTCCAATGACTATTCAGGACTGATTTCCTTTAGGATGGACTGGTTGGATCTCCTTGCAGTCCAAGGGACTCTCAAGAGTCTTCTCCAACACCACACTTCAAAAGCATCAATTCTTCAGTGCTCAGCTTTATTTATAGTCCAACTCTCACATCCATACATGACTACTGGAAAAACCATAGCTTTGACTAGATGGACATTTGTTGGCAAAGTAATGTCTCTGCTTTTTAATATGCTGTCTCGGTTGGTCATAACTTTTCTTCCAAGGAGCAAGCATCTTTTAATTTCATGGCTGCAGTCACCATCTTAAGTGATTTTGGAGCCCAAGAAAACAAAGTCTCTCACTATTTCCATTGTTTCCCCATCTATTTGCCATGAAGGGATGGGACCAGATGCCATGATCTCAGTTTTCTGAATGTTGAGTTTTGAGCCAACTTTTTCACTCTCCTCTTTCACTTTCATCAAGAGGCTCTTCAGTTCTTCTTCGCTTTTTGCCATAAGGGTGGTGTCATCTGCATAATTGAGGTTATTGATATTTCTCCCAGCAATCTTGATTCCAGCTTGTGCTTCATCCAGCCTGGCATTTCACATGATGTACTCTGCACATAAGTTAAATAAGCAGGGTGACAATATACAGCCTTGACGTACTCCTTTTCCTATTTGGAACCAATCTGTTGTTCCATGTCCAGTTTTAACTGTTGCTTATTGACCTGCATACAGATTTCTCAGGAGGCAGGTAAAGTAGTCTGGTATTCCCACCTCTTGAAGAATTTTCCACAGTTTGTTGTGATCCACACAGTCAAAGGTTTTGGTGTAGTCAATAAAACAGAAGTAGATGTTTTTCTGGAATTCTCTCGCTTTTTCGATGATCCAGCAGATGTTGGCAATTTGATCTCTGGTTCCTCTGCCTTTTCTAAATCCAGCTTGAATATCTGGAAGTTCACAGTTCACATACTGTTGAAGCCTGGCTTGGAGAATTTTGAGCATTACTTTGCTAGTGTGTGAGATGAGTGCAGGTGTTCAGTAGTTTGAATATTCTTTGGCATTGCCTTTCTTTGGGATTGGAATATATATATATATATATATATATATATGATCCAAATATGCATATTTGTCAGATCCAATAATTTAGGCTGCTGCTGCTGCTGCTAAGTCGCTTCAGTCGTGTCCAACTCTGTGCGACCACATAGATGGCAGCCCACCAGGCTCCCCCGAACC